ACCTCAGATAGATAATTTGGTGGAAATACTTAATCAAGATCCTGTGCTATATTTAACTCAATAGATGGTCCCACAGGTGAAAAATATTCAGTTAATGAGAAAAAGAAACAAACCTGATAGCAAAACAGGCTATCAAGTCACAAAATAATATGCCTTTGGCAGTAAGTTTGACATCATCACAAATCATGCAGCAGCTCAGTTCCTTGAAATAATAAAGGACAGAAATACGGTGCAATGCCGACTCCTGCAACCCTGTATTTTTATGATCCAGCTTGTTTCTGTCAAGGGCAGTCTTTGACATGGAGAGCCGGCTGGGCAGGAGGACACTGTAGCTGCAGCACTCCACGCTAACAGCTCACAGGTCCTACAGCCTGCTTGGCCTGTGCTCCAGGTCACTCCATGCTGAGGCGTGACCAGAAAAAACACTTGGGAGACATCAGCTGTATAGAAGATGACCCTTTGGGGTCAGTATAGCATATTATCTTTGAACTAATGCACTACACACGATGTATGTTCGGACTACAGTGGAGCTCCCACACAGGGCCAGACCTGAGTGAAAAGACCTTTGTTCTGATTTTTCAAGAGTTGTCCCTTTCCCCACATGTTGCCTGCAAATGCCACAGTCTCTCACAGGCAGACAAATATGGGCAAAAAAGTGCAAGAGCAACTTAAGAATCCTTCACATCCCACGTGGAAATGTTTATTTCCTAGTGCTTTTGACTGTCCAGGGAGAAGCCTGCTGTTCATTTACATTGGAAAGAGCAATGAAAAGAGGAACATACAGTGATAGACTTTGGTCACCAAACACGGCAAGGTGTGTCAACTCGTCTTTTACATTCCTAGGATTTAATGGGGGGGAAGAATCTATCTGCATGCATAAAACCTAGAAAAGCTATTATATGAGTAACACGTGAGCTACCACCAGTATATTGCTCAAGAATAGTTCCAGCTGCAAAACTACCACCACACTAGTAATTTTAAAAAAATATTTTAGAAAACAAATGCTGTCTCCAGAGATTCTCAAAGATAAGGGTAAATTTAAACAATTGCAGCTATAAATTGAGATATTTTCTATCTCTCTGAAGGGCATTTTTGCATCCTGGGGAAATGTGTAGAACAAGTACATTGGTACGCTCAATTTCAAAGTAATTCAGTGGTGTTAGGTACCACTAAAAATCTTATGGTGCATTTTAGTGCTAAGTGTTAATACTGAAATACACAAAGTTCTTGCTGGCATATTAATTATTTCAGTATGAAATAGTTTCCTATTGTTGTGAAAGTGGCACAAAAATATAGCACATTAAAAAGTTCTTGTATACAGTTATCACCGGGTTAAACATTATGAATGTTTAGATTCTGCCACTATATGGCTAAGTTACCTAATTCACCATACTTCAGAGCAAAACAAAAAGAAACTGCACTCAGCGTAAAGTCTTCAGTTTGACTGGGTTAACAGGGTGATTATGAAAAAACGTATCGTTTGATATGAATACCTTGCCTGCTTCCTGCACTAGCAGCAGCAACTGCTATTAGCACTTTCTTAGTCCTGGCTCGGCCTCCTCTCTGACACTACACCTTAAACACTGTCCACTTCCAGCAGGACATTTCCGTTTCTCTTTAAATGGTGACACACACCACTTGCCTCCATGGGTCAAAAGCAACCTCAGATGTTTCGCCAACAGCATCAGCTCTTGTCAAAAGGTAGGGTACCTCTACCAGTCTGTTAGACCTCAGACAACGCAGCAAATCAACTGGTCACAGAGGCTGAATCACCCTCTCCTGTGATGAGACACACCTATTTCAGAAGGTGGCTCAGATACATTGCTTGGCTGCTACAACAAAAACTATTGCAGCAAGCACAGCTGTACCTCTTCTGGAGAGTGGAAAAAATCCAAAACAAACCAAAAAAAACTCTGTGGATTTTAAGGGACCTGGAACACGCCCTTATAAATTTTCAGCCAAAATGACTAAAGGGAAAGAAAAGGGACAAGTGGGATCTCTCTCCAGTGCTCCATGCACCCTTCCCATGTTTTCCAAAATATAATAAACCACTTCTTTAAAAAAAAAACTCACAGCAAAAAAGTGTTTCACTAAGAGCTAACAAACTCAGAACAACTGCACATTGTTTCTCACATGAAATGGTGAATATTAGCTAGTATTACCGAGAGCTTGTGAAGCAAAATGCAGGAAATGGGACATCCTACTTCTGCTCTTCATAACAGAAAAAATTTTGTCATACTTATTGCAAAATACCAGAAAGAAAAATAGAGCCAGAAAGGGAAGAAAAAAAAAAAATAAATGAATACAACATAAATAAATTTAGTTTGGACCATGTGACAAATAAATACATTTAAGCAGAACTAGAATAACGTAATAATAAGGATGCAGCTCTTGTTAAAATACAAGGAGGGCTGAAAATTACTTTGAGTAGTAGCCCTGTCATGAGAAGCTTAAGGCAACTGCTTCCTGGAATACTTTCCACTTGATCTGGCTGAACAAATATTGGGGAATTTAACTGGGGAAAGGTAAGTCTGTAGATGTTCACAAGTCTGCATTTGTCACTGTGGTTGGCCTAAACACTCACAGGATCATGAGATGGTTTGCTTTTTGTGCTTGGCAAAAGAAAACAGCTCTCACTTGCTTAGTTTACATCTCCTTATCAACAGAGATCCACTGAGAGCAGGGATTGCACCCCAATAGAAATCCGTGGCTCCGGATTTCTCATCCCATGCTGTCATCTGAATTCAATCTGGAGACATCATCTCTCTCAGCGACTGCTTGCATGACCAGTTAGGTCTGTCTAGGCTTGCAGAACAGCACATACATCCAACTGCTCATTCCCACTTCTGCTAGCAGGTCTTCACACATGGAGGATAAATAGAGGAGCACAGAAAGAACAGAGAGCTGCTCCCAACATACACTTTAGCTCAAACCAGAGAACTGACTACCTGGAATGGCTTCTCCTAGTTACGCAAGGCTCACAAAGCATGGAAAAGCTGAAGTGAGAGCAAGCAATCACTTCTTCAATACACTTAGTGGATTTCCAACCATTCCTGTCAGCAGGTGGAGCAGCAATAGCACTAAATATGGAGAGGCAAATATCTCCCTGTATTTGTCTGCTATCTACCAAAGTAAGATTCGTCTCTTTGTCACTGCCTGCTGAAAGGACACAGAAACTATTGCTGCTTCTAGGACTCTTCCCTCTGCTGGGAAATGACAGAAAGCAGTCAGAAACCTCTGATAATCTAATGCAAGGCCGACAAAGGCAAAGAACAAATTTCTCTCACCTTGGCAAGAGGGCTCCATTTGCTTCCAGAAAACACCTGTGGAAACTTTATTTATAAAAATCCTCAGGCCAGAAAAAATAGCAATATAGAAAATCATCATAATGGCACTATACCTATCAGAAAAAGTTATGTGTGGCTTGGCTGTTCTAAATGTAAGAGGTCTGACTGGGATCTGTCTAGTCGTAAGTAGATGTACAGAGCAGTTCAGTACTCTGAACTGGAGACTAGATCAGAACATGTGGATTTCGAGTTCTAGGTAAAGAATTCTGTATCAGCATTTCCTAACAAATGTCCATGCATCTGTTTCCATAAAAAAAAAAAAAAAGAAAACATGTCAGCGGTTGAAGGGATCCAGCATAGCCTTTCTCTGCATTCTTTGCATCTTACACAAGGATTCTGAGCCTTTAAAAATAGTAAGCTAACCAGGCAAGGCCCCCTCTGAGAGGTCAGCTCTGATCGTCTCTCCCTCCTATGTTTTTAGCATGCGCCACCCGATCTGTAAAAAGTGGGGATACACCATAGTGATTTCAAGAAGAATACATTCAGTCATTTCATGAGTTATAAAGGACAAATGTTTCCAGCCACTTTCACTATAATATAATAGTCATTCTACAGTAACAAAAAACTTGACCAGAAAAGAGTTGGCTAAAATTATGTCCACTTACCAGCAAAAGCACAGAATTCTATGTGAATCAAGACTAAAATAAACCTGAAGTTCAACAAGCTTACTCTTGAAAAGACAATGATATTGCAAAAGATTATATGTCATTGATTTTTAAAACTCAAATTTACAAACGTGCTCCTGAGTCAAAGTAAATTTACGTCTCTCACGATTCTAGACAGAGGTACAAAACTGTGCTGTTGGATGACATATATGGAAGCTTTAGATTATGATTTGTTATTGCACACTAAATTATTAACACTTATACAGCAATAAGAAGAAATATAAAATGCTATGAAAAGTATAATTCATTTCTCCTGACAGATATTAACTGGCCTATATTAATAACATTTGGAACTATCACTAATGAGGAAAAATAGCCATCCTAGTCTGTCAGCAGTATCTGCAGTGAGGGGACAGTCTTCTAGCCACTAAAAAAAAAATGAGGGAGGGGGAATATCACACCATAAAATAAGAAAAATAGTTTCTCAAAGAGGATGTTTATGACTAAATTTCTAAATTGCTGTCACAGCACTGTGGGGGAGAAACTCTGAAACCTCCTCCAGCAGCTCTGTTGTATGCTTAGTCTCCGCAGCTATCAGCTAACCGGAGTTCAGGTTTGTGTTATTCCCCAGGGTCTGGTCATTTTGTTACACAGAACTAGGCAGCTAACGAGGGATCTTCAGGGAGAGCGAGGTGTCATTTGCACAGACCAGCTCCTTATCTTCACTTTTTTTGGAGGGCAAACCAGTGGGAAAATGGTCAAAATATGTTTTGTGTTATGTTTTCATCAAAAGCGTGAAGATAGGACCACATTAGTTCAACTTCCAAGGTGTAGTAAATGTCATATACAGTCTCCCGTGTTATGTAAATGAATCCAGGAATTTAGCAGTAATGCATACGTACATTTCCTAAACAAAAAGAACTTTTGTAAATTCAGTTAGCCAGAGCAAATGGACAATTCAAGAACTATATAAGCATTCCACTGTTTCACTGTTTTAAGTGAAGATCAGAAGACACTACGCTACAACAGTGTTTATCTCAGTACTGACCGTTATCTCGAAGGACTCCTGTGGAAGCTGTTACTCTTACTGTCTGTTTTACTTTTGTAGAGTTGTTAGAAAAGTGTCGCCTGGACACAGAATCCTCTGGATGCTGGCTTTTTTTGTCCTTCCCTTTGGGAGGCTGAGGTGAGGAGCTGTTTTCTCCCGGGTCACTGGATCCAATGGTGGATTTAGATTGCCGATCATTTCCCTGAAAAGATGTGCAGGCAATTAGCACTGATGAAAGTGACAAAGTGGGTGGTATTTTTTTTTAATTTCAATATTATTTCAACTTTTTAATACTGAGGATTTTTATCAGGTGACAAGAAGCATATTAATTTACAATCAGTGCAGTTAAGCGATATCTTAAACTATCCGGAAAACTTTAACTATCTCATCAGCTTCCTATATGGTCAAACTGATTAAACGCTCCTCAACAACTCCCAGAGGTAAATAACACAATTATTTTAAGGAAATAATGCCTCATTTGATTAAAAGAATGGCTAGGTGAATCTGTACATGCATGCAGATGATATACAGCTATATCTCATCTATGCATATGTGTGGAAAGTCACAAGATATAACATATATAACTTGTGAATAATTCATTGCCTGCGTAAATGAGACGTGGGCATTAATCTGCTAAGCGTCAAAAGCAGCTGGAAGAGGATGACAGTCTTCATGTGGCAGTAACAGTGACTGCCAAGTGTATGCTAAGAATTGGTTTTACCATCACCTCTGAATCACCTCCAAGGACATCAGCCAGTTCCCCTACTTTCTCTGTGATGTATCTAGAAACAGAACCAGAAACCTGGTCCTTATTTTTACAGCTTTGATGTATGCATGATCCTGGGTGTACTAGCCAGAGATCTTATTATTTATACATGTTTTTCTTCAGTCTAAATCTGTTCATAATCAACATCATAAAAAACTGAACTGTACACAGCAGCCCTTTAGGGTGCTGTTTGTATCATGCTAGGCTGTGTAAAGACTTTACCAACTAAATGCTCTCATTAGAGGCCGTCAGCCTCCTACTTTTGCCAGTCTGACAGAGCATGTGGTTCCTTCCTAATCCAGTTCCGCCAAAACACTCAATATAACAACAAAACAATCAAGCAGATAAGGCAGAAAACCTTATCAGTATCTGGAATTGTTCACCTTATCAAACTTCCCTAAATCACAGAAGATGAACATATTCTGCTTCATTGTTTCACTTAGTGTAGCTGCATGAACAATTCATGCCATTTTAGAACTTGCCCACCAGAAAGACCTTTCTTTCTGCAATGGACATCGACAATTCACCTCACTGCTAAAGTTAAAAGATAATACAATCTAAAGTTAAAATATTTCAGAAAAATAGGTCCTGAACCAAATCCTGCATCTCTTCAAAAAAATGTATTATTGTATTTTTATGTGATTCTTCTAGTTTTCACATAATCAGTAGAAACCCATTCTGTTTAAAATATCTTATTTACATGCCATCTAGAATTTACCATTTAATCTACTGTATATCTACCAATACCATCAAATCTACCACTTATCCTTTCTCTATACAGAGGAATGAGGGCACAGCAATATTTCAGTCTCTGCTAATTCAAACTGGAGACTGTTACTCCCGAGCAATAATAGTAAAAAAGTGTAGCTATCCAATTGAGGCAAACAATTGCATAATTTATACTAGTTCAAGTGTTACAATAGATATCTAAGAGCAGTAATACATATTCCTGCCTCCTTAAGTTTTGACACTTGTTATGAGTGTATGCCACAGTCCCAATGGAATAAAAGTGAATAACAAATAATTTTCTGTATAGGCTGTTAAGTAATAGTAGAAGAGGCAAGAAGTTAAAACTGTTAATGAGTTATTTTTACAAATGCTAGAATAGCAAAGCTCACATTTCAAAAACAAACACTACTTGAAAGTATGTTCTTTACTGAGGTTTTATCTTCCACTGAATTTCAACAGAATTGGAACAGGCACTTGGACATGATCAACTGCCACAATTATAGTGACAGACTGCGAGTCTGGCTCTATACTGTCCTGTACAGTAAACTGCACTTGTACAGAACTGGGGCAAACAGATACTTATATTCTGATTTGGCACTATTATAAATCCACAGTGGACTCATTTTGTACACATATAAACAGTTATACAGGATACAAAGCAGTGGAGGCTCAAGCTCTGTATGTAATGGTTAGCTAAGGCAAAATACACCAGACTGTAAACTGTTTTAAGCCCTTATTCAGACTCAGCATGCAGAAACACTGTTCCTGCAAGATGTTTTGTAAAAGGTTCTGTGTTTTTTCTTTAGGTGTATAATTTGAATAAATAATCTAACAAATAAACAACGATAGCTGACCTCAAGGCAGCAGTTCATCTTTCTGTATGTAATGGTTAGCTAAGGCAAAATACACCAGACTGTAAACTGTTTTAAGCCCTTATTCAGACTCAGCATGCAGAAACACTGTTCCTGCAAGATGTTTTGTAAAAGGTTCTGTGTTTTTTCTTTAGGTGTATAATTTGAATAAATAATCTAACAAATAAACAACGATAGCTGACCTCAAGGCAGCAGTTCATCTTTGCTATGGCAGGGTTTATAAAAAATAAAGCAGAAATTACTGTAATAATATTTTCTCAGATTTCTTTTGTCTAATTGAGACTGCAAATAGCTACAGATTCATCAAGCTTTAATAAGCATACCACCAGGTGGCTGTGGATTTCTTTTCTTCAGATTTAATTAAAACCCAAAGGACAGGGACTTTCCATCTGCCAGAATTAAGTAAAATTAAAAACAAACTTTATTCTGGCACTTGATACTTACACTGCCTTTAGACTTTCGAGATCCCACAATCGGAGGTAGTACAGAGGCTTTGGAACTGCAGAAGGAAGCCGTATCTTAGAATTGTGCACAATGTCACTATCATAGACACTATGTATCTATAACCAAGTCAGACACCACCAAGTCAGCTATGGCAGCAGAGTTAATTGTTTTATTCATCGCACATTTTCCCTAAGAATCACTCATTTCTGTTCAAAAAATTACACTTCAGTTTATATGCAAGTATGGAACAAATTCTCTAAATTACATCAATTTGTGGGACAAATTTTCATTTCTTTCCACTTATTTAAATGACATGGTTCCTAATTTTCATGTTTTTCAAAGATACTAAAAGCCCAAGTTTCTCCTGACAGAGGCCAATTTCGGACTCTTCTGCGATAATTCTAGCCTACAAAAAACAGACCCAAACAGAAAACATTAAGGGAGTATATATTCCACAAAACTTTACCAAGCAAGAGTAGATCTGGACTGGTGTAGCTTCATCTAATCTCATTCAGCTGTATCCATTTATATTGCAGAAAAAAAAAAATTAAGCCAAATATAATCCCTTCTCTGACATTAATTTTGTGATATATGATCAACGGCACGTTTATGAAGTGAAATAGGTTTCTGAATTTCCACTTTTTCTTTTGTTTCTGTTATCAAAACTTCCTCAGAATTTGTCAGTGAAGTTTTGCAGTCATACTAACCCCTCCATCCATGCCTTGGAACGATTTCGTACTTTACTGGTGGTACTTTGTGAACAAATTGACACACACAAGCACATGAGAAGTGTATCACACACCTGTAGAACTTACCCCTGTGGTCTTCTTATTGTAGATTTGCTAAACAGCAGATCACCATACGGCAGCTTCTTAAACTTTTCTCTACCCACTGCAACATAAATTTGCCCGTTCTCCAAGTCTGACCCATTCTGAACAAGTTTTCCATCTAAAGTGTAAAGTCTAAAAAATATGAAAATGCTTAATATAATAAACCTTAACATTCATTTAGGTGTATTAAGAGCATTGGAATCTACGTTAATCTAAATTCACTAAATCATGATATGAAACCCAATAAAGTACAGTGGATATCATACAATAATCAGTCGCTACATAAAAAACAAAAGACAAGGAAAGACAGAGCAAAATGATGACTGAAATCACATTTTATGTAAAACTAATGAAGTGTTATGACAGATCAAATACTCTCATAATTTCTAAAATGAAATAAATTACTTTCTACTTAGAAGGTCTTTGATGCCTTTCCCCTGATGCCTTGGAAGGAATCTATTTCGTGAGTTCCTGACCCCTCTTGTACCAAGCTCTACCACCCTGCTGTGCTCTGGGTGCTATGCAGCAATCCGGGAAGAACAGGGCGTTCATGGCCCCACAGCTGAAATCTCAGGACCTGTCCACCTGACACAAACCAAGCTGATAATATTGCACTTCTATTGCATAGCTCAGAAGGCTGGAACATGGCTGTACCTGGTGGGGTAAGGCTGGAAGTAGCAGGAAATAATACACAAATTCTTGTTATAATGTGTCTTAGGCACCTACAATACCAATAATTAATATGTCTATTACACCAGGCATATTTTTATCACAGTAATTTCTGTTTGTACTATTTACCAAGAAGGAAGAAATGCCTTAGGGACTAGGGAGGGGTAGGAGGGGGGCGGTGGTCAACACATTATTCCTATGCTATCCCAATTACTTCATTGTTGAGTTTGTGTTTTTATTTAAGCATGGTCAAAACAATGAGGAAGGAAGAAACATTCAATAATAAATAAGCTCTTTCCTATGAAGCGTATTCCAAAATTCAACCATATTTATATTTAATTAAAGAGTCAACATCAACAGGTTTGCATTTAAGTCTTAAACACAGGAATTACACACAAACAATGAAAATAAAACAAAAAATCTTAAAATCAGCAAGAAGCCTATTTCTGAATTAATCTCACTGTGTTTTGCTAGATTACATTTTGCTTTGGGGAACTCAGGAGGGAAAAAAAAAAGCAAGCCAGAGAATCACAGTTTAAGAACTATATATATATTTGTATGGTGCTGCAGTTATATAGGGGTACGTACAAACAGGACTGTGGGGTTTTGCTTCTGATCTTTCACTTTTCTCATGGTTTAATATTATATTTAATTCTCAAAAGTTTTTTGCCTAATAGAACTCCCGAAAATGGTATGGACAAATATTTGGCAGTGTCCAGTTGTATTTTTCACCCTGAAAATAATAATTATAGCAACTGAATCAAACATAATCAGTCACTTAAGATGAAAGTGAAATGAAAAATGCATTTTAAAAAAAATAGAACTTCAAACAGATAAATGAATATTGACTTAACAAGCATCACACAAATTTTGTGACACTTACTTCTAAAGCCTTCTACCCACCCACTTGGCCACAACTGTTCAAAGACCAGCTGGGTTCTCTCTGGCTTATAGTATGTAACAGAGATGTCCTGGTAGTCACTTCTGGTCACTGGGTGATGATCTAGGGCCTGTCCTGTGGGATGTCAGTGGACTCCCATTTCCCCTCCTGAATGGCTTAAACCAAAAAGCCAAAACAAGGCAAGCACACAAGCTGACAAAGCAGGCAGCAAAGACACGACCTGCAGGATCAATATCCCCTAAATCCCAGTTGCCCAGGCACCATGTACTTGCCCATCAGGCTGCTGTACCCCCTTCCCCATGCACAAACTGGCAAGAAGAAAAGCTACTTTCTCATTGTCCCCTCTCTCATATTTCTTACTTACATGACTATTCTGATGGGAATGATCAATAATTTTCTTTTTTTTTTTAAAAGCCACATGTGAAACTGCGTAAGACTTGGCAGCTTTGCATGTCTTTTAATAACACACAAAAGAAAAACTGCTGTATACATAATGCAGGTTCTCGTAATTCCACTTATCCTTCTTTAATGAGAAATTATATCTTCCCAGCATCAGTGGTCTTACAGGACCTCCCCTAATGCTAACACAGTTACAGTAAATCCCAGCAATTAATGTGTAACTTATTAAAGAACAATGATCACTTTACCAATGTATTTAATATGTCTTCCTAGCATTTTATGGAAAAGAAAATGAAAACTGGGTTAATAAAAAACCAGAAAAAGGAAAACATTAAATAATTCAAAATGCCATGTACATTATCTTATTTTTTAAAGATTAAAACTGAGCACTAGAGGGAACTTCTCAAAAGCAATCCTAGCTATGTACAAAATGATTTATGCTTTCATGTACATCATTCAGTTTCATCAAGGAGTGACGCCAAGTAATGAGAATAAAACGTGAAAGGTTTTTAAATTACTAAAGGACTTGAGAGCAGAAAGAATTCGTATGTTGTAAACAGCTGTTACTTTGCTCACTTCCCTGCTACACCAGCTGAGAAGCAGATCCAGAATGCTAGTACACGTGTGTATGTTTACTTCGCCACAAGTGAAAATGCTAAGTAGCGAGATACTAGGAGCAAAGAAAGGAAGAAGGAAAAATTAGATGAGAGCTAATAGTCAACAGCTAGCATTACCTTCATCTTTTGTCATCTGTATCAGTTCTGGGAAAGCAATCAGAAGAACTGAAAGACAGTTCTATCTTCACTGATTTGAGAAAGATTTTGCAAGCTTAGCCTCAGACATTCTGTAAGCTGTGAAGAACGATTTTCCACAGAAGGCCCTTTCCCATCTGTGGAACGGATTTCTGGAATGTCCTCTGCATGGGGCAACACTGGAATGTCAGCAATTTGCCAGTGCACACCTTGGCATGCTGCTTACACTGCGATGTTTCTCATGGAAACCACATACATCATCATGCTCTAAATCCTGCAACAACTACCAAATCCTATTTTACAGAGCTTATTTAACATTGTAAAAGCCTTAAGGGACTGAAACTTACTTATCAAAGAGGTCACATCCTATTCCTGGGATACCACAACATCTCAGACCAGCTGAGATACCGGAACTTGCAAACCCCCATCTACAACTCTGGCCTTGGCTGTTCTTAGGAGGCTGAGCTGGCCAAGTGTAAAGCACATCTTAGTCAAGCACATCTTAGTCATAGCACAGGTCTTCAAAAACCAAAGAATCTGTAATACTTTCCTTGAATTGTTTGCCCCAATGAAATTAAAGAACTATCAATATTAAAAGGAACACGGACTGCATATGTTATTGCACATTCCTAACACTTTCACCAACTTTACCATGCTCATTTATTTTATTCTGACGTGTAACTTCATATTAATACTGAATATATTGCATTATTATTGTATTATTATATGGATGCTAACTAAATATTTAATCAAGAAATAACAGTTGAAACACTGAGGTTTTTCTTTTTTTTAAATAGCAGTTGGAAAGAAACCTGAAGGTTACTTGGAGTCAACGTATTTCCACTTTGTGGCTTTTTGATGTATTTTAATTTTCTTATAGTGGAATTTCCCCTGAAGC